CTACCCCTACGGCGGCCCGGGAAAGCATAGCCATTATTTCTGGATCCGATTCAGGCATTGCAACAGTCCCAGAGGAGAGCAGCGCAGCCGAATCTTCCTCTCCAGAAAGCTCTGGCTCCCCCTCTGATGCAGCAATCGACATCTGGTCGTTGGGAGGAGCGCCAAAGGATACGGCTGGTACGCTCCTTGTAGAGGGCCCAGCACGTTCCATTGGCAGCTCAACTGGCTGCGGAGTGCCTCAGACCGCCCGCGCTGCTGCCTGAAGAGGAGAACTAGATCAAGGCAGAGGCAACGGAACTCCGCCCCTTGAGGAAACAGAGCTTGCCCCTCGATTCCGAGATGATCATCTTCCCGCAATGAGAAGATGACTCATCCACAAACGCCACCTCAGCGTGCTACATGCCCAGGCACGTGAGGCAGTGATCGTGACCATCACCCAGCATCAGGTAACGACCGCATCCAGAAACGCCCGGGTGATACGTTGTCTATAGCAAGACCCACATCATCTTTCCAAAGACTTAACGTCAAGTTTGCCATGCAACGTCGTCTTTAAAAAGACGCACCTGAAATTGCTCTTTTAGGGGAAAAAACTATTTTAGCGTGCTGAGGCGCACAAAGGAGAAGATCATCTGCAACCCAAACAGGGGGTAGTGCAGCCTGATGTGTGCAACCCATTCGACACGGGAAACCACCACCGCTGAAGCGCCGTACCGCCAACTCGAAGAGCTCTCCAAGAGCATGCTGAACTCGTTCAGTCTTCTTCTCTCAGTAGAGTAGTCAGGAGCAGAACGATGTGATCGCTTGGCTCCGAAGCGAAAAGCTGAATATGCGCTGCATCTGCTGCCTACTTATACTCACGCTGTGATCAGTGGCAGCTGGATGCAATAATCGCATGCCAATGTGCATTGGCTCGTTTAGTTTACACTCGAAGTAGATTGGTCTCTCTAAGCGAGATCCCAATTTCGGCGGTCATCCGACGTAACGTCGAGAGTGACCGACTGAAAGGGAACCGTTTTTCACAAAAATATAAAAATATAAAAAATATTAAGATTCAGCTTTGCCATCACAGGAATACATGACATATTAAAATATATTCAAATAGAAATTGTAATAATATTTCACAATATTACGGTTTTTACTCAATCAATCAATCAATCAATCAAACTTTTTCAATCAAATAAATGTTGCCTTGGCGAGCAAAAGAGACCTCTTTTAAAAAAAAAAATAAAACATTTACCAACCCCAAACTATTAAACAGTAGTATAGTTTAATTTTGATAATTTTTGGAGCAACATAATTTAAGCTCAATGCATTCTGTAATCACTTCACTTTGGGTTTTCCATTCACAATGAGAGAAAACATTTAAATAATATAAACAAATATTTTTTCAATTTATAGTTACCCTCACCAGAAGCCATGTTTGTTTGTGTCTACTGTTGTGATTTTAGATTTAAGTAGCACCACCAGTGTAATGGCTTTGGGCTTAAATATTAATATTTAGTTTTGGTCATACTATTTTACGGAGCACCAGCCAGGAATTTCACCTTGACAGTAAAGAACAATCATGGAAGATTGTTGAATAAATAAGAATTACATAAATTAGAGGGAGTTGTAGTCTGACCAATCTGAAGGATTTTAGAGGTATTGTTAACTTGTAGAGCCTCTTGTATTATCTGTATTATCAACACAAGTGTAATAAAAGTGGTTTTATTATCAAAAGAATAGACAAGAGTAACTAAATGGGTACAATGAATGGATAAAGTGCAAAAGATTGATAAATGCAAGTGACTGTGTTAGATGTTTCTATGGACGTTTATGGAAAGATAAAGTTTCTTGGAAGTAATGAGGTAAACCTTATTCTAGATTCAACAAATAAATCGAGAGATTATTTGTTATTAACTGACATCAGTTATATAAAATCTAATGCAGATTAGATGATCATTTACTTACAATACACACTAATTCTTACGATCTCTGGAAAGAGATTTGGAAAGACTGGGCATCGTTCCTATTTAGGCCTATTTACATTGTGATTTTATTTTATTTTTATTTTTTTGTTGTGTACATTTTGGGACTGATTTATGAAAGAGACTTGTTCCCCATATCGCTATATGGAATGCAAAAACTTTGAAGCTCAATATCTCAAAACTGCTCAGAATGCAGATTATAATTCCAAGGTGACGATATGCTTCTCTATGAATGGAAGGGAAATGGGCTTTGCTTTTGTTCACATAAGTATACTTTTATGCCACCTGCCTGGCTCTCTGTTATTAAAGAGAGAATGTGATTGAATTTTCCGAGACTTTGTGTCACATCTACTGTAGTGTATACAGTACAAAAGATTTTTTACACCTCTAAATTCTTTCTTTTTCTTATTTTTTTCATTTATAGCGAATGATCCCTTCTCGGGCCCGGAGTTGCTGCCTTTGATGTTTCAAATGCCCTTTTCCTTCATATATTTGTGCATGAAATTTGTCTCTATGAAAAAGAAAGTAATATTTCACACCCAGTGTGTGTTATCTTTAAACCGTACCCTCCCAGGAGTTTCAGTTCTGTGAGGGCTTATGTTTGACTGTATCATGCATACCCAAATACTCTTTTTAATTGCCAATAAAATACTGCTGGCAAGGCAAAGAAAGTCCTCAAGCTGTTCTTTTCTTCTCCTCTCTGTCTCTCTCACTTTGCTGTTTTTCATCTTTTTCTCGTTTTATCCCTCAGTGTAATCGTGAAAAGTGAGGAGTGGAGATATTTCAAGGAGTTGACGAAGACTCTGACTCCTCTAGAGGAGGAGATGTTTCACCTAAAGGAGAGCACATGGACTCCACAGGTTTACCTGCGGCCCAAAGAAAGTATCCATGTTCCGTTCAAGTACCAGACCTTCATCTGTGGTCACGCCTTCCCTATTCAGGTAAATCTAGGGGGAACTCTCTCAGATATTTACTCAGAGTTTATTTTAAAGGGGTCATATGACGTTGCCAAAAAGTACATTATGTTGTGTATTTGGTGTAATGTAATTACACCAGAGTTTATGAGTTTGGAGTTTATGCGGTTTAAGGTTAAAAAAAACACATTATTTTCCACATAAATGTACATTATTGTTGCTCCTCTATGCCCCGCCTTTCTGAAACGCGTAGATTTTTACAAAGCTTATCGTTCTGAAAAGCGAGGTGTACGCTGATTGGTCAGCTATCCATTGCGTTGTGATTGACTGAATACCTCAAACGTGTGATGGAAATGTTACGCCCCTTAACATACTGTGATGCCGTCTCCCGGCACGACGAGACAAAACCAATAAAAACCCATTACAAACGAGGCATTTGTTGCATCCAGTTGGGACATTATTACTGATTATAATGACTTATACTGTGTTTTTATGCGTTGCGTATCGCGCTGTGTCTAGATCTGTGCAGACCAAGTCTGCATTTGTGATCGGAGAAATGACAAGCAACAAGCGCTACTCTACACTGCTTAAAACTTGCGTTTGAATCATCAGTGGCAAATTCTTTAAATATAAAAACTGTACTTACAGGCTGTGAGTCAGAAGCGCCAGACTGTCCTTGCAAAGTTGCAACTGCCCCACTTTGTTGAAACAGCCTTTGGCTACTCTGCAGGTTTAGGAAACAGTCCTCCATAAAATGCTTCACACAGCATCACACACTGCGGGCTTGAGTGAGCGGCGGCGGGCGGGCTTGAGTGAGGAATGGCCGGCGGACTTGAGAACGGTGCGGCCGGCAAGCTTGCGGCAACCACATGTGACGACCCCGGGCTGGACTCCGCTTCGTCCGCAGTGAAAGCCGATCCGGCGATCCACAGCACGAAGTTGATGTATTTCCTCAGCGACCAGCACGGATCAGCTCTAGGCATGACGTAGCGGATATCGTCCTCTTTTGGAAGGCCAAACAAAGTCGTTTCGCTTTCACAACGAAACACACAGCATCTCCACAACATAGCGGCGGCGGCAACAACAATACTACAGCGAGAATAAAAGTTATGCCTTCTTTCTTTGCGTGAACATTTGGGTGGTATTATGCAAATCTTTAACAAGTCTTCTAAGACAAGTCTTAACTTTTATAAAGAATATCTCTTTGGATTTAAGACTTTAGTCTTTGCAACTTTACAGATCTTCTTTTATGCACCAAGAGCTTGTAACACTCCAAAGAGAAAGGAAAAATTGAAATCGCATCATATGACCCCTTTAACTTTTTTAAATAAAAACTAAGAAATATTTTTATTTTGTTTTGTACTGTTGTTTTCTTTGTTTGTTCTCTTTCTGTTGTTGTGTTTCTTTGTTTTTCGTTGTTGTTTTGTTTTGTGGGGTTTATTTTTTTTATTTTTTCACCCCAATGTTTTAAAAAGTCTGGACAAGCCACTACATAGACTCAAGTAAATCTAAAGTGAACTGTCCACTGAACTGCTGGTGCTGGAAAATAACATCATCTGGAGAAAATGTGGACTATTTAATTGTTTCTGAGTGTTGTGATGTAGTGTAATTCAACTATGAACGATGTGTCATCACTGAGAAACTGCATTCGTTTCCTCATTTCCATTTTGCACTGATGAGACTTGGATTAGTTCACATGTTTCCGGTTTAATTGGATTTGGGTTTGTTTATAGTCTGTAGTATTACAGAGGCAGCCATAAGTGAAGGAGAGAGGTTAAAATGACTCAAAGCATCAGCAATAATGAAATGGATTAAAAACAGCCTCATCCAGACGGTCTGAACAGACCTTTCCAAACAATGTTTTCCCCGTCCCTTAATGACATTATTTCAATGTGATTGTTCTCTCACTGAATGCTGTACTGTTTATGATGACTCTTCTGTCATACTGCAGGATACAAAAAGCTTAAAGATTTCAAGAAGTCCACAGATGGCTCAGAAACATCTGTCCAATACAATTCATGCCAAATCCATCAAGGTAAGAGCTTAGCACTCACTGTACTGCTGAGCACACACAGGAACTCAGACTCTTTCTATACAGCCTGATTAGTAGTTGTGCAGTCAGAGAAGTGGGCTGGCACTCCTGTGGTGGTTCAAACAATCCAGACTGAAAACATGACTTGGTCATCAACAGTAAAACTGAATGTAACTGATGCACGCTTACAAGAACCAAACAGAAGTTGCATTTTTAGGCAAGTATGTATTAAATGAGACAAAGAGCTTGTTTTGACCTTTTAATTGTGTATTTGAGATTTTGACCTGAAGAACCAAATGCATTCCATTTCAGCCTGCCATTAATATTCAAATTGATTAATTTCAGCCTTTTAAATGAATAAGTCTGTTAATGAGCAACATTGATCAACTGTCCCATTGCCTCTAATTTATGTTTCATAATCAGGTCCACACAGATTCTGCAGATTTTCAGACATTCACAAATGTCTACACTTCTGCAGTCCCTTACATGTTGGTTTATTAAATATTTTGTTTTCTTTTTCTGACATGTGCATACACCGTCTGTTGATGACTCGCGTTACGCTCATGTGAAAGCATAAACAGTCCAGTGTTAAGTTTCCACAGTCTGTGATGATTTGGGGTGCAATGTCATCTGCTGGTGTTGGTCCATTGTGTTTTTTGAAAACCAACGTCACTGCACCCGTTTACCAAAACATTTTGGAGCACTTCATGCTTCCTTCTGCTGACCAGCTTTTTAAAGATGCTGATTTCATTTTCCAGCAGGATTTGGCACCTGCCCACACTGCCAAAAGCACCAAAAGTTGGTTAAATGACCATGGTGTTGGTGTGCTTGACTGGCCAGCAAACTCACCAGACCTGAACCCCATAGAGAATCTATGCGGTATTATCAAGAGGAAAATGAGAAACAAGAGACCAAAAAATGCAGATGAGCTGAAGGCCACTGTCAAAGAAACCTAGTTTTAATACACAAGTTTCACAATTTGAGTTGAATTACTGGAATAAATGAACTTTTCCACGACATTCTAATTTATTGAGATGCACCTGTACATGCAGTAATACAGACAATGTTATAAACAGTTTATTCCATTTCTGTGGAAATAAAATGAAAGTATACAGTGTATACATATATTATATTATATTATATTATATTATTTTATTTTTTAAATGTTTTTCATAGAACTTCCTTATGCTCACCATATTATATTGTGAAATAGTAATACATTTTAAAATAACTGTTTGGTATTCTTATGATGGCAAAGCTGATTTTTCAGCAGCCATTACTTCAGTCTTCACTGTCACATGATCCTTCATAATCATTCTAATATGTTAATTTGGTGCTCAAGAAACATTTTTCAAGACACATTGCATGCCTTCTCAATAAAAGTATGAATTTATTATATTATATTATATTATTCATAAAATCTTATTTATAACCTTTACTTTTCATTTGTAAATTTTTATGCATATTTTACATGGCGGATGGTTGGGGTGATGTGCTGTTCTATGGCATTGTGCCTTTGGGCTGTTCCTGACAATAACAGTTATCAATTCCTGATATGTAACCGAGAGAGACTGATGCCTTGCAGTACCTCTGACACAAACACACACACACACATACATGCGTGCAACTCCCATATCATATTTAGGTCAGTTGGGTTCAAGCATTGCTGTGCACAAATTGACATCACCTCCAGAGGAGTGTCAGTGGGTTGTCTTGGGCTGTGAATCCGACAGCCAGCTCGACTGTATCTCACGCGAGAGAGGTTATGCACTCAGACTGCAGATGACTCACGGTACTTCATATCACACTACATACTGTCAGTGCTGTTCATTCTGGAATGATTTCAGATAGGCTTGTCATTTAGTGGTAGACCTTGACCACCTCTGCTGAAAAGAGCAGCTTAGACCATCATACTGGTTCAAGGGTGGTTTTGCTGGTTTGGTGCTGAACTACAAAGAAATGTTGTGAGTTGCAAGTTAAATTTTGTTCATCTCTTAAAAAAAGCAAAAATATGTTTACAGTAATGCACTTACAATGGAAGTCAATGGGGCAAGGCATTGCACTAGGACAAATGTTGTTATGAAACAGTTTGAAAGTATAGCCAACAAGACAAATAACTTACATTTTTGTGCAGAATAATTCATATAAGTGTATAAAACAAGATGCACATTTCTGCTTTTAAAGGTGCAGTATTTAAAGGGTCAGACCGATGAGCTTTGTAAAAATCGACGCGTTTCAGAAAGGCGGGGCATAGAGGAGAAACAATAATGTACAGTATGTGGAAAATAAACCGCATAAACACATTTCATTGCACCAAATACACAAAATAATGTTCTTTTTAGCAGCATCATATGACCCCTATAATAATGACAACTAGTGGTTGAAATGCAGGGCCGTGCACAGGGGGGTGGCCCGATGGCTAGAGCCACTGCCCCTCTGTCCTCATTGGCTGAGGTCCCACCCCCTCTGAACGTGATTGGCCCTCCCAACACCATTGGGCTAGAGTACTGTTAATCTGACAATGCCTAATGCCATTGGATCAGAGCGTTGTCAATCACTGCCTGATTCACTGCCCATTGTTGCCTGTAAATTTGATAATGCTCAACATCACTGGATCAGAGCACTATCAATGCTTTGGCAATGTAAAGCCTTTTTACCATGCCAAATAAAGTTTCTGGAATCTGAATCTGTCATTCACTGACAGCGATGGGAAGTTTTTCAAATGACTCGACCAAAGACCACATCTCTGTTCATATGGTACGTAAACACTCAGTTATATATTTTGGAATATCACTCTGGTCGCGCAATATTCAATATTCTGATTACTTTTGTGTGACTGATCAAGTTATTATATGTAGCTAGTATGAGTAACAAAATGTGTTCCCTGTGTCCAGATTTGACTGCAATAATAATGCAAAAACTGACACTTCAAATCAGCCTTTAAATGTCAACTTTTACAAAAAGTATTCTTTAATAGTCTAAATACTGTATATATCCAAATACATTATCTTATCAAGTAAGTAATTATGTTTGAAAACAATGTTCCCAGCAACTAAGGAATACACACACACACACACATGTATACTGCCCCACTCCCAGTGATTTCGGCCACTGCCCCTCAAAATGTCTGTGCACGGCCCTGTAAATGGGTACTGCGGTCTAAATTCAAAATATTGTTTCTCCCGTTCCCTTTTCCTCAGACTCAACGTTCACGAGGGTTATCGGATTGAGGACACGCAACACAAACGAACACAACTGACAATGGAAGGCAACAAACCTTACACTGTAAACTGATGATTTGATTTATCCACATTTTAATATGCCTGTGGTCATAGAGCTTTTTAGATGGATGCCGAGGCTTTTTAGGTCGGGTAGTATCTGTGATCTCTGACCCAGTTCGTTTGCTCACTTCCATAGCTGCAGTATACTGTGTTTTCTGCAACCCAACCCTGCAGTATGCTGAACTGGCAACCCAGGCTGTCGAAATATTATTGGGTAAACAGGCAGTGGGCGGAATCACAGACCAAAACAAAAACAGACATACCGACACAGAATGCACATTTTCAAAGTAGAATAACTGGCTTTAGCATTGTTTTTCGGAGAAACAAGTATGTGAACTTAGCATGTTTCCTGAATATATGCAAATGTATTATAGCGTTTTTATGCTTAAGTACAGTCAAAAAATTACATACAGCACCTTTAAACCATCTAGGATAGCTTGCTCCATAGACAGCCATTGTAAGTGCATTATTCTACACCAGAGTTATTATAGTTAACTAAAACTAAAAACATTTTCATTACTTGAAATAAAATAAATTCAACTTATTTTATTTCAGCTAGTTTCCAAGGCAAAATTTCTCATTTTCATTTAGTTTAGCTTGATATACTAAAATAACTAAAACCGAAATACAAATAATAAAACTATATAGACATATTTAAAAATAACAAAAACTAATACAAATTACAAAAACTTTAACTGAAAATGAACATGAAAGCAGAACATATAAGAATAAAATCTTATTCAAAATATTTATAAAAAGTATAATCCCAATGATGCTAAAATAACACTGATCTACACACAATTCCCTTTTTACAAACTGTGGGTCAAGTCAAAATTACTGTCTGTGGTAATGGACAGCAAGTCGCTGATGCAGTCGATACCTGTCAGTTTATCTTGTTGTGAACCTGTGTCATTCCTTTATTTTCTAGTGAAGTCAATTGATTTAGTTCTCCTGTTAGCATTTAGTAGGAAGGCCTTTCAAATTTTGTGTAGGTTGCAACCGATCTGCTTTTCTTACAGGTGCTGTTCCGTGGGGAAAACAGAAAGCCTCTGGTGATCTGCCAGGTAGATGTTGAACCGACACCACATGTGGTGGACCAGACCTTCCGTTTCTACCAGCCTGAACTCACTTTCCTAAAGAAGGCCATTCGCTTGCCTGCAGCCTGGGACGACACAGCAGGTGCTGCTGATTACAAACATCTCCGCCGCTGTGGATGCACATACATACATACACACACACATACACACACAAACATGCTTCAGTGTCTGCTATTAGTCCTGAACTAAAGACCCCATTTGTGCTCTGTCTCCTTTTGTACTTGCTCACAGATGGTTCTGCCACCCTCCATGTGCGCTGCAGTGACCCCAATGTCATCTGCCACACCACCAACCTGGTGAGCCAATCAGGAGTCACTCTTATAGCAGCCAGCCAATCAGAATGATGATGAGTTATTAATTAGTGTCTGAGACTTTGTGCTGACTCATTGTGGTGTCATGGCCTGCACACTTATTTGATTGACAATTGTTGACCATTCTTTTTATATTCGTTTTTCATACACATTTCTTAGTTTCTTTTTATGTTTAATAAAGTATTATTTTTTTATTTCATTTTATTAAAATATTTATTCTTAGATTTTTAATTACAGATTATTTTATATTTATTTTTCATAAAAGGCTATCATTACATACACTATAATATTCATTTAGTTTTCATAAAATATTCGGTTTTAGATTTTTCATTAAGGAGTTTTTTGTATTTATTTTGTTCATAAAAGGATATTATTTTTTCCAGTAGTCCATTAGTAACAAGTAAAATTAATCAGATATTCATTATTGATTTGGTTTTGAGACTTTAGTCTTTGCAACTTCAGGGATCTTATCTATGCACAATCAGCTTGTAACACTCCAAAGAGAAAGGAAAGCTTGAAATCGCATCATATGACCCCTTTAAAGTTAATAATTAATTTTTTTTAAATTTGTATAAGCATATATTATTTTTTTATGTTTCATATTGTATTATTTATTTTTCATAATTTTTTTTATTTGTATTTTTTCATAAAATATATTTTTTTAATATATTTTTTTCATGCAAGTATTTTTCAAATAAAATATTTATTTGTATTTTAATTACTGATTAAACATTATTATTTTATAATTCATTTCCTTGTATTTTGAAACTTTAGTCTCCAGGAGAACCACAGGATGTTTACCTGAAAGTACCTGGTAGCCCAAGTCCACAGATTAGGAAATTCTTCATTACCATTTTCACGTACGTACACCTCCTTTTTCGCCTTCTCTCGTATGAGTACATGCATAAAAGTTCACTTGTCGTGTTTTTTTTTTGAAAATGAGAACCTGTTAATTTTCACTCCTCCAGATGCACAGTGAGGTGTGTGTGCAAATCTCGCTTTGGCTGTGTGCATTTAAAAAACTAACAAAAATCCTGATAAGATGATAATGATACGAATTCTACTAATAAGAACAATCGCACTAAGGATTAATGAGCTGCTGGATTCATGAATATTAATCAGGTTGTGTGCGTTCGCTCCAACTGATTTGCTGAAATCGATAATAGGCGAGCACCAGCCAATGAGATTGCCGTTTGCGCATTAGTTCCGCCCACTACCTGAGAACCCAGCAGTTCTTAAAAGCTGAAGAATTCCAAAGGAATGGTGTTATTTTGACAGGAAAATACAACAAAGAACATCGTTTACATGTAGCGTGCCAATTCTCTCTCTCTCTCTGCGTGTATGTGAGACAAAGTGACACCGAGTCGTGTATCTTCACACTAGAGTTTACGGTACGTCAAATACAGGTGCGCTGCACATCTATTGAGACGAACTGAAAAATAGCACAGATCGCTTGATGGAGAGTGAAACTCTGAAGCGCTCCGTCAGAGTGTTTGGCGAGTGAAAACATGTATGTGCTAAAATTATTCTTAGCGTCCAACTCACACGCTGGCGAGTAAAATCTGAGAATTTATTAGCCATTGGCTAATATTAGACATCATTTAGTCGCCCAGAGTGAAGATTTAGTCGCATATGCGAGCGATTTACTCGCTATGTAGAGGGTTGTCTATAACACTCTGTACAATCAGTAAGAAATACCGCAGAACCACATTTTGCATGACAGCTTTCACTTTCAACAGATTCGATTTTTTGTAGCAGGTGCTTTTATCCAAAAGAAAAAGTGATTTGTAACAAGGGTGCTAACATAATTAGCAGTGCCACAGTTTTAAAAACCTTTTTACTTCTATCTTATCTAATTTCTTGTCATTTTAATGAATTTTAATTAGGGAATTGGGATAGAGAAGATGTAGCGGTAGAGCTATTGTAAAGACCGTGTTGAGCCTCACAATAAGCTTTATGTGGTTATGTGATAGCACAGATGAAGTTGAAGTAGGGCATTCACATACAGCACCGCGGTTAGAAACGTCCCCTGGCAAATCCTCTCACATCTCTGTTTGACACACAGTGGGAGCCCACAACAACAACATGAGCCGTGGCATGCTAATTAACCACTGAATGCTCAGTCTAATTGGGTGTTCAATAAAACATGAGGAAGGCTCTTAACGAGACGGAATGATCATTAGTAAAAAGTTGATTACATTGTGTTGATTAATACAATTACTAATGACCAGCAGTGTATGGAGAGCTTCAGATACAATACAGTGTTGGAATAAATGCTGACGGTAGACTGTGTGCATTTGTGTGTGTGTGTGTGTGTGTGTGTGTGTGTGTGTGTGAAAGCCCTGATTAATCCCTTCATGTGTGATTAATGACATTTGCTTAATCAGTCTCATTTACTGTCTGATTGCATCAGATCATAATATTCATTTATTCATCAAAATCTGCGACATCTCTGAGTTCATAATCAGTGAACATGAATAAAAACACAATTTTAAAACTTGTACATCACACATCTCTCTCTGGAACTGGAACCAGTGAGAGTGACAGCAAATGTAAAGCAACACATATTAATTAAAGGCAGTCAGCTCACTTGCATTATGCTTATACTCTACTATCATCCTGAATGCTATATATTGTATTATATAATAATTAATCATTATAGTTATAATATTTTAATTCACAGATTCCTAAATTTAGTTTTTTCAACTGAACCAATTCGACCTTACACTTACATTACACTTGACGTACCCCCATTTTAATAATGGATTAAAATACATTTGCATGTTCACGAGTTCTCTTTTTGTTTGTTCATGTAGGTAAACAAACTAAATATTTCATATTTTAAGTAACTGTTTTATTTTGATAGTTTTTAATTGAATTTTTAACTTCTCTTCAACCTGTTAAATTTTCAAACTTTCAGGGGTTTCACAGACCCAAATTTGGGAAACCATGTTTTAATATCTGTAATTTATTATAATAAATATTAAAATAATATAATATGTTAATATTATAATAATATAATATTTCCTGAACTCTCCCCCCATATGCCATCGTTTGCTCTGTTTGACTGGTTGAGATACTCAAACAATTTCAGAATGTGCCATACTATTACTTTTTTAAATAAAATAACCTGCAAACCTACTTTAATGCTGATTTAAAGTGTTAGATTTAGTTTACAAAAAATATTTAATATATTTCATAAATTAATATTATTTTAAATGTATCTTTTCATAACAGGCTATTATTTTTTTAAATTTTCATGAAATATTCAATTTTTTCAATCACTAAATAAATCAATTATTCATTACTGATTAAAAATTAATTTTATAAATACTTTGAATTATTTTCTTTTAATTTCCTTGGGCTAGTTGAGTCTCCAACAATTTTAGAGAGTGCCATTATATGCAAACTTTTTTTTTTCTTTTTTTTTTTTAACAAAATTAACATTGATTTAAAGCATTTTAACATCAAAAACTTCAACGTTAAAATTCTCTTTGCTTTCTTTTTTCCCTTTTAATCTTACAAAAATTAAAATGTAGCTTGTCAGCGGAACAAATGCATTGGTATTCACTCTAATTATCGAACTCATAATGGACTTAATGGTTTAAAATGATTGAACAACAGACAAGCTCATCAGACACACAGTAACCCATCAAAACTGAGTTTTTGAGCAATTATAATAACCAGGAGATCAATGAGCTGTAGGTTTTTTTTTTTTATATCCCCAACAACAGCTGCTGTTAAGGACAGCTCAGCAACCAAGGACGGTACAAACGTTCTTCAAATTTTGTCCCTTGAGCTTGAGCCCCTCAGGCAGGGTGAAGAGCTCACGCACAAAGTCCTTCATTTTTAATACAGTCCAACTGTAGAAACCCTGGCAGACAGAAAGACATCCTCATCTGCAAACCTCCTGCGGGGACACGAGTGCCCACTGGCACGCGAGATGGTCTTAAAGAAAGGGTGAATGAATGAATTTAAAAACGGTGATATTTGGGTCTTTCTGAACATCTCTCTCTTTTGAAGATTTGTGATATGTGTGTGTCTCTCTCAGGGGAAGTGTTGCCTGTCAGGCCCGTCCTGCTATTGTGTCAGTGTATATGAGGAGAAAAGTGATAAAGTGTCTTTTGTGTGTGTGTGGCTCTGTCAATCTCTCTATGGCAGTGACCCTTGGCTGGCCTCCCCTGCGCAGATCTGGCAGGTATACGTGCATTACCAGCAAAGGATGGACCTGAGCTGTGTGTGTGGCACTCTGAGCTGGCATTCGCTGGTTCTGCACGGCACACAAGCCATTCGCAGGGTCAAGTGCTACACGTCGCATCCCCTCGAGCTGCAGGTACGCATTGCGGGGTCAAAGGAAAACACACTGATCGGGGTAGTGAGCTCTGATGGGAGATTATGTGACCTTTTTTCCTATAATGGGAGAATGATGAAAAATAATGAGATGGTAAGTAAGATGACTAGGTTATGTATATTTTATTTCTAATTTGTGTTTTATTTGAGGGGTTTGAATATGATTTTAAAAAGTTTAACTAATTAATTGCATTTCTTTCTGTGATTTAATCGCAATTAATCACACATAACATTTCACATTTTTGTTTATGTAAAGCACCACTGTAGACATAACTAATGGTTAACTATTTAATAAAGCTCTAATTTAAAAAATATATAATTAAAAATGATAAAACATAAATATATTTGCTCATCGAATCCCCAAATTTATGTATAATTGGTCAAGTTTAAATAATATTTCTTTAATGTCATTTTTTTTACCAATCCAAGCCAGTATCTGAATATCATATTTAATAAATTATATAAAATAATAATTATAACCGTGCAATATTCAATTTGAAAGCCGTTTTAGCATTTAATAATCCTAAACTACAAATCATCATAGTGCTGTTTTTGTTTATAATTTCTTAAATACAGAATGTAATATAACAATTTTGTATTTAAATAAAACAAAAGTGAACCCAATGTTTTTTTGTGTTCTTTTGAAAATCTAATAAAATTCCCATCCATCAGTAATTTTACAGGAAATGGATTTAGAGACGCGATTACTCAGAGAATGTTTTTAGCATGCCTGTTTGTTCAGCCTCTTTAGTCTATATATTTGCTCATTATCTGTCAGTTGCCACTTTAAAGGACTGCAAGGCAAATAGTAGAGTATGAAAATATATAGTTTTGCATCCCAAAAAAACAAGTGAAGAATAGTGGAGTCAGATGCAGTTAAAGTTGTGTGAGCGGGGCATTGAGGGGATGAAAACAATAAAACACTTTTGGCTGCAGCTGTATCATTAACTTCCTGTTTTAAGCACAACTGCGAGCAAAGAAAGCAGAAATGCTAATTCATACAGAAAATGAAAGAATACTGGAATATGTGGATTATACAAGCAACATAAATCTCAAAATGGGTATTTCCTTTATACCTGAAATATGCAAGCAGAGCAAATACAGCAGCTCCCATCTCAACAGAGAGCTGTGTGCTTGTAGAGACCTTACTGTTGGTTTAATTGGCCGTGTGCTAACGGTATACAGCAGGTGCCAAGAAAGATGATGAGGCAAAGTAGCTATACGTTATGAACTTCAGGTGCAGCCTCATGTTTTCTGAAGTTCTGCAGAGGAGGGTTTCCCTGAAGTTGCTTTATTGCTGTGTGGGTTTTCTGTTTTCTGTGGTTGATGCCAGAAGCTCTGTGATCATTAGATTTGTGTTTTCCAGGTGGATCCAGGTGAAATTTTTGCTCTTCCTGCTCAGGGAGTTCAAGATGTCTGCGTGGGCCTGAGGGCTCTGCGCCCTGGAAGCCGTTTCTTTTACCTCAATGTAGTCGATGTGGACACTCGGCAGCTAGTTGCCTCTTGGCTGCTGTGCATCACATGCCGACAGCCTGTAATCTCCAAGGTAAGCAAACTACATCAATAGAGTGCAAAAGGGTTCAAACCACATTCATTTTCTCTATACCTATTTACAGTGCTGTTCAAAAGTTTGGGGTCAGTAAGATTTTTTTATTTACTTGAATACTTTTATTCAGCAAGGATGCATTAAATTGATTAAAAAAAGTAAGAAGTTTCATAAAATTCAATTTCAAGTTCTTTTTAACTTTCTATTCATCAAAGAATCCTCTAAAATATCTTGGGTATCACCATAAAAAATATTAAAGGGGTCATATGATGCGATTTCAAGTTTTCCTTTCTCTTTGGAGTGTTACAAGCTGATTGTGCATAGATAAGATCCCTGAAGTTGCAAAGACTAAAGTCTCAAAACCAAAGAGATATTCTTTATCAAAGTTAAGACTCTGCCACGCCCCCCTAAAACGGCTCGTTCTAACACGCCCCCACATATCTACCTCACTATGTGGAAATATTTGCATAATGCCGCCCAAATGTGCACGCAAAGAAAGAAGGCGTGGTTTCAGTAACCGCAGTTAGTGTTGAAGCAGCATGTCAGGGAGACGCTGTGTGTTTCTAGGCGAAAGCAAAAGCACTTTATTTGGCCTTCCAGAAGTAGATGCATTTAGGAATCTTTAAGATCACTTACAACAGAACAGCAATGCATTTTATGGACGACCGTTTCATGAACCTAGGAGAGGAGGTAATTCTGACTTTGCTATGACAATCTGGCGCTTCTGAATCAACTACTGTTTTGTTATTAGTTTAAGTATTTGCTACTGACTGGTCAAATGCGGAGTTTTGCGCATCGTGTGTGTGTGTGTGTGTGTGTGTGCTCGCGATTATGGTAAGGGGCGTTACATTTCCGATGAGTGCTTGCGGTGTTCGGCCAATCACAATGCACTGGGTCAGCTGGCCAATCAGAGCAGACTGCGCTTGTCGGAAGGAGGGACTTTGTAGAAAACGAAGCGTTTGAGAGAGGCGGGGCATAGAGGACCTACAATAATGTACAGTATTTGAAAAATAATGTGTTTTTTGAACATTAAAGCATGTCAACATATTCTGACCCCTTTAAGCAGCACAATTGTTTTAAAAACTGATAATAAGAAAAGTTTCTTAAGCATCACATCAGAATATTAGAATGATTTCTGTGGGATCATGTGACATTGAAGACTGGAGTAATGGCTGCTGAAAATTCAGTGTTGCCTTTAGAGAAATAATTTACATATTAATATATATGAAGATAAAAAACGGTTATTTTGAATTGTAATAATATTTCACAATATATTTTTTTAAAACTTTTTTGGGGGGGGGGTCTTCCTTTAAAAACATTTTAAAATTACTTACAAAAAACTTACCGACTCCACACTTTTGAATAGTACTGTACAGCATATGTAAATAATAATACATATTATTGAAAAATTATTGTTTATTACAACAAATTAATATTTGTTTTTAAGTTTTAAAATTTACATGTATGTATATTTGTGACTAGATAGATAGTTTTGACATCTTTTACATTTTTTAAGTCGAACAAAACAAGTATAATTATAATACCTAAGACATAATACTATAATACAAAAGTACATAACTACTTCATTATGTCATTTATCTTCCTTTTGCAAAGTGCTCTCTTCTAGCAACTATACAGTGGGTGTCAATATAGAGTGTCCAAAAAATTGAACATTTTTCCCCCATAAGTGTAATGTGATGCATACATAGTCCACAGTGATGGTTTTTCTCAGCTTATGTAGATTTTTAGCAGAGCAATGGCAAGAACTGAATGGGTCTTTAAATTTCAGATCTCTGGCAGAGGATATGGTGCATGAAGTCAGTGCCAGTGATTTAAACCTGACGTTTTTACTTCAGTTATTTTACAGTATGTCTCTCGGTATGTGCTTGAAACTCCCCAGGCATTTGAAATCAGCGTTCCTGTAGATGGAGGGAAGGGCAGCAATAAGAAAATCAGTTTCACAAACCCCTACTCTTCCTCCAGAGTATTCAATCTGCGAACAGATCGCCCAGACCTGCTTCAGTTTAAAGAGGAGCAATTTCAGGTGAGAGAACCCGAAGCTAATTCTTGTTCTCTTAACAGATCTCAAACTTTGTCAGGAGGCCTTGCTGTTTAACACTGAAGAAGAACCATATTTTTAAAAGCCCATTCACCAGAAAGGTGTCTAGAGCCCAGAGGAGAAGAATCTTGACATGCCTCTGTCTAGAAATCAATTTGTGTCTGTCTAAACTGTCATTCTTAGACACGTTTCACAGTATGTGAAGTTCTCTGTATATCGGAGAACTCAATTTGTGCCCTGGCTCCTATCGCAATGCCAGTCCCCTGAGGAACCCATAAAGCTGCGGTCCAAAAAAATGGGACAAAAAGACAGAGATTCTCACAGTCAGGCTGGGAACGTCAATATCTTTCACCTTGAGGGCTCGGAATGATGCGTGTAGGTATTACAGGTCTACGTTAGACTTCAATTAAAAGCTGTTAATTGATTAAGTGATCGATACACAACCATTGGCTATTACTCCAGATGGAGACAGAGAACATTAATTAGCCACAGGGACAGAGTGTCTCGGATATATTACTGTGGCTTTGGGGGTCACAAAGTAATTCTTCCTGATCATCATTTTGCACAGAAATGGTGTAAAACAGAACGGTGTATAATCTTAATTTCATCATTCAGTGCTCTCATTGATCGCTGTATGGTTTAGTGAGTTTCACATCCCATATCTGGGCAATAAATAGTGAAACAATGTGAAATATGGAAGTGACAGTATTGAACACAATGGATTTATGACACCTCAGTGTCAAATAAAAGCGATGAAACTCATAAAGAAAGGAAATGGCCTGTTCCATTTTCTTGTTAGTCAACACGGCTTCAATTATCTTCTCTCGCACTGGATTTATGGTGTCTATATTTTTTAAAAATGTAGAGATGTTGCTTTTTTCTGTCTTTGAGAAATAACAACTGTGTCATTGTAAAATAGGCGCAGAGCCAAAAGAATCGATACGGCCGTGCTTTTGAGGAGATTATGAACTAAATGCTCAACTGTGTTCCATATGTCTTGTAGTCAGCCATTAGAGATAATGAAGAAAGAGCAATCTTCCTCTAAACACTGGAGTGCAATTTCTGTTACCACAAAGCTCAGGAATAGGAATTTATTCATATGACAACAGAAGATTTGGAGTATAGTCGTATAGACCACTTTTCTACTTTTATGGTGCTTTTGCATGGGGAAACAAAACAAAAAGTGCAATTGCCTTTTAGTGTTCCATGGAAGAAAAAAGTGATACAGGTTTAGAATGACATGAGCATGAGTAAATGATGACAGTAGTGTAATATTTGGGTGAACTTTTCCTTTAATGATTCATTTAAAACAATGATTTTGCAAACTGAAAATTAAAAATGATTTAATAAAATAACATACGTAGAAAATCTAGAATTTATAATCTCATTCAAAAATTGATTGGTTTTATTAAAAAAATTAATTAATCAAATACACGATTCATTAAATATTTTATGAAATGAAATAATCAAGTTTGGCAAATTTAGTTTAAACTAAGCTGTCAGTAAGATATCGCTAGTTTGGGTATTGGATATTGTTTGATTGATACATTTATCACTACTATTCAAAAGTTTAGGGACTACTTTTACTTTTATTTAGGATTATTTTATTTAGCAATTTTTTCAAAATGATGAAAAAAACATTTATAATGTTACAAAAGATTTCTATTTCATATAAATGCTTTGCTTTTGAACTCTGAAAAATAGAATCCTGAAAAATGTATCAAGAAAATAGTTGAGAACCAAATCAGCATATTCAATTTTTAAAAAGGATTGTGACACTGAAATTGTGCCTTCAAAGGAATACATTAAATGTAGAAACCCATAAAATAGAAAAATGCTATTTAAAATAGTAATATTTTTACAATATTACAGATTTATTTATTTTTTTTCTTTCTCATTTTGAAATAATTGCAGCATTCTTCCAAAAGTCTTTTCAAAAACATTATAAAATCCTACCTACCCCAAACTTTTGACCGGTAGTGCATATCTCTTAAAAATTTTAAGAAATATTTATTCTTTAAATAACTCTGGTAATAGGGTTGAATTTTTACTTTGTATCAGGGGCAAAATCAATAGGCAACAGGTTTGCATGCAAAAGTTGTTACATGATTTTGTGAAATCGAGGCAGCTCGACTGCTGCTGTTATTAAAACAAATGGGGGATGAACCAAATAAGACACTGATAATTTTTCAATTCAGCTTTGTTCATTTCATTAAACTTTTTTCAGTCAAATGGTTATGCTGATAATGTAATTTGTAATGAAAAGCATATGAGATTAGAAAAAAAGTGAAGTAGAAACATTTTCACTAGTGCTCTCAAACTTTTAGACCCCACAGTATGTATGTGTATTCTATGTTTATATCCCAGTATTTTACTCTTACATTTCCCCCCAGAATCCACAATGGCCGAACAAACGTAAGCGATCACTCCTGAGGCCCTTTAATGCTTCCTAAAGACCCTGCACTTACCTTGGCACTCCCACTCAAACACTTCACAGCCAAATTTCAATTCTGGTGAAGTACATTGTGGGATTTCCCTCTCAGATGTTGTTCAGAGAGGCCTGCGCTGTCCACAGACTGTTGACACACCGTTTGTATTTTTCCTCCGACACGCACGCTCTCAGAATGCATAGTCTCTGCAGAGGCAGCGCTTGATGTTGTTAGGTGTTGCTCGGAGGGCTTTGCTGCCGCTTGCGTGCGAGCAGAAGGAGTAGGAAACGCTATCAAAGACCCAATGAAAATGTATCATCTTCCTCCGAGGTGCGTCACGAGGGCTTAGCCAGCTCCGAGAGTCAGGCTGATTTCGCTTGCTGCGCGTGTGTGTGTGTGTACATACATCTGAGCGCTGGTGTGAAATAATGTATTTTTGGTGGGTGAGAAAGAGAGAAGATTTGAAAGTGTGAGTTTGAGAAGACTTGAGTGGAGGGAGGGAGCGAGGTTGACGGAGAGGTGTTGAGACGAAGGTTAAAGGGAGCAGCTCTCTGGTAGAGTGTAGGATTAAACTCTCCGTCTCTCTCTGCTAGAGAATAGATGATCTCAGCAGCAGTTAACGCAGTGGCGTCTTAATGAGAGATTTGGGTGAACATATGGAGCGTGTTTATAACACGCATCAATTTCCTCCCGACATCGTCATCACTTCCTCCTCTTTCTATTGATTCTTACCGGCCTGTAGAGGGCAGCCCTTACCATGACAGAAGAGAGGGCGTGAAACAGGAGAAAGCAATAAAACAGAATGCCTGGAAACCACATACCTGATGGTGGGTGTATCCAAATAACAGCCCCTGTCTTTTCTATGACACATGCTGTCCCTCACTCTCTTTTTCATTTGGGCTCTCCGAGGTTTCAACTGTCTCTGAGCTTAGGAGAGCCTTTGTAGCAGTGATCCTCAAATCTGGCTCGTGAGATCCACTTTCCTGCAGAGTTTAGCTCTACCCTAATCAAACACACCTAGGTTTGCTAATCAATGTCTTCAGGATCATTAGAAAAACACGGGTAGGTTTGTTTTATTATAGGGTTGGAGCTAAACTCTGCAGGAAAGTGGATCTCGCGAGCCAGATTTGAGGATCACTGCTTTGTAGCTTTAGATCTGTACTATTTTGATTCAAGTTTAGTACGTTCAAGGATATATTGTGGCTCTGGCTGTAAGGGGTCATTGCCTGGGGCCCTGCAAATGTTTGTGTTTGTTATTAATGTTTTTGTCATTGTTTTTATTTTTGCAGTGCATTATTTTTTGGTGAATACTTTTATTTCTCACCTTCGAACTTTTTTCTCATATTTGAGATATTTGTCATAAATTGGACTTTTCATAATTAATGCACTGCAGGTCCACATCACTTTGATTGGCTGTTGACAAGTGAGCTGTAATTCTTAGCTTTTTTATAAATGTACAATTATAATACAAAACTTAAAAGTATAAAAATATATTATATTTAAAATAATTGTTAGTAATTTTATATTGTAATTGCGATGTAAATGTGCAAATATGAGATTAAGATTCCTTTAAAAAAAGAGAGAGAGACAATCTTTTTTTAAATATTTTTTTTAACCACTTCTTTTGTGTATTGCAAATACTTTTGATTAATGGGAGGTCAGTTTTATGAATTATATTTTAAAATATAAAACTTTGCAGGAAGTGCTTATACCTAATATTTTTGGCTTGTCTGTTGTACTTTGTTGAGGTCATATTTCTCAAATTAAGTTTAAGTTTGATCAAAAGCAGATTTGCTGCTGTGAATGGTAACAACACAGCAAACATGATGACAAACAGGTGAAGATCAGCTGTACTTTACCCAACACCAGAGATCCATCCATGTCACAACAAGTCTATAGTTTTAGGAAGTGTTTTGCACTGCCAACGGTACTTTAAATTCAGCTGTAGGAGGTATGTTTAAGTTTTGACACTTTTAAATTAAATATTACATCATATAATCTGAAGCCAGGCTTTCTCGTATTTTCAAAGCCTTAGAACTAAGTATATGAATAATTTAAAAGGATCAACACCAAATGAAATACCTTGAAAATATTTCTCTATGCTAGTGTCAAGTACAAATTCGATTTGAGCATTCATGTCTTTAGAAAAGTTTCTGGCCTTGGTGATTTTCTCCCTGAAGCTTCACACAGCTATATTGTAGATGATGTGCACAAAAGAAAAACAATCCCAAATACAATATCTCGATCTCTTTTTATTCTTTCCCTGCAGTGCCCACTGACAACAGCCTGCCATTTCTGTCACAGAGACTCCGTCACAAAGGCAGAAACGGATCAGTATTCCTATTGTAAAGATGCGGATGTCACCACTCCTCAGATGATCTGTATGCATTTTGTTTGTTTATTCTCTTTGAGAAGCACTCAGATAATTACATGATAATTGCAAGTAAGTGCATGATAGAAAGAGCATTTAGCAAATAAGAAAGTCGCAACATCATAAGCAGACAACAACTCTGTGCATTTTGGAAATGTACTCTTAATTCACCTATAATCAAATAAGTCAGACGGCGACAAGACCGCCATATAGTCCTAATTACAGCTCATAGCACTAATTACAGTGAGTAGTTACCACTCCTTGACTGTAGTAAAACTTTCATTTGCATTTCAATGATGATTACCGAACCATTTGTTTGGCGCAGTCTTGTATTCTTTAAATATTCCGGTGTTGTCCTGGCACTTTCAGCCTCAGAGTGAAAAAAAAATCATGGCAGATAAAGTTTAAAATTAGAAATCTAAAGAAAATAAGAAACAAGCTTCTATAGTCCATTCTTATATATAATCTATGCGATCAGAAATACTTAGAGTAATTCTTGTTATAATTTATTTGAGTTGTCATTACAGGGGTTTATGCCATTCTGTTGGCAATTTTTATTCCACACCAAAATTGTGTTAACACTTGTCTTGTGCATATACTGTTGAAACTGGGGGTATTTTAATGTTTATGAATCGGCCTCAACCACTTCCAGTTTAAGTGCCTTGCAGACTTTTGTAAGGAAAAAAGTGGAACTTAAATCTTGAGCTAATCAACATCATGCCACAAATGCTGTTGATTGATTTGAACTTGTACTGAACCCAAAATATTAATTTATGATGTCACCTTGTAGTTTGAAATTATCATGAACTTCTCAGTATCTAGTTTTTCATTTCTATATGGAGGCTTTCCGGTTATTCAGCTTCAGGTGTTTGCCAAATGTTTATGCTGAATCTTAAACATACCAAGCTTCATAAGAGGCATAAGAAATATCTTTAATTAGGTCTCTGTAATAATCAGGCTCAAGCCTAATTAGAGCAGCGCTGGTATTCCATTACTTCAAGCAATGGGCCTGAGGCATAGTCTACATATTAGCTTGAACAAAAGAGCATTCAGTGAGCACACGGTAATGAGTGGGATTGTTTGTATATATCTACAGCTGACAGTGCTGTCTCCTTTTACAATAGACATATGCACTGGAATGATAGTTTTGTGATAATTGAATATCTCTGACTG